AGAAGCAGGAGATGCATGGAAATATGAGAGCAATCATAGATGCGGCTTCAGCAATTTGGAAGGAGATGAGTGATGCTGACAGGGAGCTGTATAGGAAGAAGGAGCAACAACTGATAGACGAGAAGAAGAAGAAGGAGAAATATGTGTTCCCATTTTCTATCCCCTGCTCCCTCACAAAATTCAAGGAAGTGGCAAACTTTATAAATGGTAAAGAAAATTTAAAGCGCAAGGTAGAAGAAATGGGCTTTGGCCATCTTCTTGGTATTACTGTGAATAAGCTGCCCAAAGATTTATGTCTGGAGTTGATTCATGCATATGATCCCCTAAGTAAACAAATTACCATAAGGGGGAAGACAAATCGGGTAACTGCTACAAATGTTAGGAGGGTGCTTGAGTTACCAGATAAAGGCTCCAAAGTGAAGTTGGATGGCTTCAAGGATGAAGTAAATGTGCTGAAGAAGGACTATACTCCACTGGCATATTCTCAAATTGCGGACAAGATAATGAGTGAGGAAGAAGATGGAAAGTTCGAGTTCTATTTTGTTCTTTTCACAGTGGGAACTCTTCTTTGTCCAACAAGAAGTGCAAGTGTGAGTGAGAAGGTGCTAAAGGCAATGGCTTGCACAAAAAATAAGTGGCAAAATTTTGACTGGGCTTTGTTTGTGCTTCACAAACTCAGTGAAGAAAAAAAAAGGTACAATAGGAGCAGTAAGGATGGACAGACTGAGGGTGCCAGAGTTGTCGGAGGGTGCATCTACTTTTTATTGGTACTTGCATACTTGTTTACAAAAGAAATGATACTGTATATGGTTTCACAATTAAACTGTTGTTGTACTGTGTGATATGATTTTTGAGTACTGCTCTTTTTTTTTTTTATAATTGTACTTCCTGCATAGGTTCCTTTTGCAGGGAGGTGAACCAAAAGACAAAGATGCTATCAAACATTGGGATAATAAGGCTGTGAAGAGTAGAATTAACATGGAAAAAGAGAGTCGGCATGGCATTTTCTACACTCCACCCTCTGTTGAAGTGAATGAGTCAACACAGCCAGGTTATAGTAGAAGTTTCCATCATCTAGTGAGTAATACCAAGGTGGTCATGTCAGTTGGTGACAGTTAATATTTGTTTGATCATATACATTTCCAATGTGCAGGACATTAAGGAGTTTTGGGTTAATTTCAATAACACATTGAACAATGAAATGGCCAAGATTCAAAACTTTGTTTGTGATGAACTGGTTAAGTTGGAAAACAAAATTCAAGGAGCCAGTGAAGAAGTCAATAAGGAGTAGCTGGATGAAAGTGACAAAGATGAGGATGAACAAGAAGGAGAAGAACATCCGACTGAGGAGGATGAAGATGACTAGCCACGAGATGATGAAGTTATGACTGTGGAGGCCAGATAAGAACATCAAAGTGGTGAGAAATTGCATGATGATGAAGAACAAGATGAAGAAGAGGAAGGTGCTGACGAGGATGACAATGTTAGTGAAGATAAGTTGCATAAAAGATGCTGAAGGTTCACAGGATGCTGAAACTGAAGAAGGGAACGAAGAAGGAAAAATAATGGGAAAAGCAGTGCAACTACCCATAAGGAGGTCAACTAGATGTAAACATCCAGCAGTGAAATCTCCATACATGTCTACTAGTTATGGCAGAAAGGTGAAAATGAGTGACAAGAATGCATTTTATACTATGTGTACTGAGTGGTGTCAACCAGATGAGCCTCAAGAGTAAGTGTAGTTAGTTATTATGGAAAAGATAGCCTATAAATGATACTAGTATGCAATACTGACAATTTATTTCCACTTTCGTATCTGTTGTAAGGTCATAGTAGATATGTTTGGATATTTGGCAACACGAGCAGACCTACAAGCACTGGGTCCCAGAAGGCGGATAAGTAATAGGGTACGTGCACCTGTTCAATTTACAGCAAAGTGGGACATATATGGAATGTGCCAGATTTTTAATTGTTCCACCTCCTTTTATTAATAGATCATGACTCTGATTGCCCACACCATCAATGCTGACTAATAGGGAATGCCTCTGTGGTTAAAAGACACATATTTGATGCAGATTTCATGGTTAGTGTTATGTCCTGTTAATGGGTAAATGCTTTAAATTGTTTGGCCAAGTTATCAGTTCAGTTTCTTCACTGACAATTTTCATTGCTATGCAATTTTCTTCTATCATAGGCAAGGATGGTGCAGGAACACACAGCATGGCAAGTGGACAAGCATCTCAAACAACTACTCCCAAAACACCTGGGGTACAATTTGGGTGAATGTGAATACATTTTTGCACCTATTTTGTTTGCACTGCATTAGTTTTACTTTGTGTTTGAACCAAGCACACTAAAGTTTTATGTGCTGGACTCTCTGCGTGGTGGCGAGGATACTATAAAGCAACGAAAGAAGAAGAAAAAGTCTGATCCAGCATTAAGGGGGCAGTAAATGATGGCAGAAACTTGTGTAAGTGATGTGATTACTTTTCTGCTTTTCTAGACAACCATAGTATTCCCTGTGTGATTGTCATTTGTAATTGTGTATAAGGCACATTTTATTGAAATATTAAGGAGAGTGAAGCTTGAGCTGGAGGCTTTGGCCAACCCATATTCAAACAATGTCATTTTGCATCCCATGGTTCATGTTCAAGATAATACGTGAGTATTTTATTAAGTATAAGTTATTTGTCATAAATTATCATCGAAATATATGAGCTAATATTGTCATGTGTTGATTTTTCAGTGACGATTGTGGGGTTCATGTCATCACATATTTAAGAGAGTGGCCCCACCCACAAGAGAAGGATGGAGTTGAATTCACCATGCCTTATTATATAGCAGTAGGTGTTGAATTATATGTTGATGACTTCATGCATCTGTGTGAACTTATTGAGAAAACTTATTGTCGTCCTATAGGATCAATACACATTTATACGGTGTGAGCTGTTGTGGTGGCTCGTGACTTATCCAAGAAACAGTAAGGTAGCTACCGTTGCCAAACACATTGCCCAGATTAACACATAACGCAAGAGGAAGCGATAACATTGCAAATTCTGACATTCAACATGTAGTTTTTGCTGATTAGCACTGTAATTCATGTTGTGAACACTTTGTGCTGATTCAAATGTTGTGCATACAAAAGATGTTGGGGGAATGTCTGTTTTGATGGAATTCATATTATCAGTACTTGTTTACTTGGATTATACATACCATTGACCACAGAAATTAGGGAATTTGCGACAGTGATACATAAATTAACACCAAATGTTCGTCCATTTCCAAGTTAACAACCTACACTAATGATTAGCCCTTTGCACGAAAGATTAGACAATTTGCAAGAGAGACAACAACGTTAACAACAACAACTAGACCATTCACATGTAGCGTTCTTCACCTGAACAACATGTCCTCTTACATATGCAAGCGCCCTGAACAGGTTGTAAGTGGGACTAGGGAATTTGTAACAACTATATATTCACAACAAGAATCAGTCCATATACATGTGCCCTCCTTGACTTGAACAGGGTGTCCAGTTGCAAGTGGAAGTAGGGAATTTACAAAAGACATATATGGCTTCATATCTGAAATCAATCCATTTACACGTTGACTAATTCACTTGAAGAATGTGTCCGTGAGTGACCAAGTGTGCGGGATAGCCCGTTTTCAAGTGGGACTAGACCATTTGCAACATTCATACACTTATTCACAACAACAATTAGTCCATTTCCATGTAACTTGCTCATCGTGAATGAGTGAACCAGTGAGTGAAAAGGTGTGCCACAGCTCATTTTGCAAGTGGGACTAGACAATTTGCAAGACATATACAAAAATTCACATCTACAAATAGTCTATTCACATGTGCCCTACCTAACCTGAACAACGTCCCCATTTGCAAGTTGGAGTAGGGAATTTGCACCAAAAAAAAAAAAACCTGGATTCACATATGGAATCAGTTCATTTACACGTGGGTTGATTCACCTGAAGAATGTGTCCAAGTGAATAAGTGTGGGAGAGCTTATTTGCAAGTAGGACAAGACCATTTTCAATATAAATACATTTATTCACAACTACAATTACTCTATTTGCAAGTGGACTGATTCACCTGCAGAATGTGTCCAAGTGTGGGGGAGCCCATTTGCAAGTGCGACTAGAAAATTTGTAACATAGATACATATATTCACAACAACAAATAGTCCATTTGCATGTGACCTACTCGTTCCCAGTGAACAAGTGAGTGAACAGGTGTGTGATGACCCATTTGCAAGTTGGACTAGACAATTTCCAATACATATACGGAGATTCATAGCCAAAAATAGTCCATTCACATGTGCCCTCCTTGACCTGAACAACGTGTCCATTTGCAATTGGGACTAGACAATTTGCAACATAGATACATATATTCACAGCAACAAATAGTCCATTTACATGTGACGTCCTTTACCTGAAGAAGGTATCAGTGAGTAAACAGGTGTGTGAGAGCCCATTTGCAAGTGAGATTAGATAATTTATAACGTACATACATATATTTTCAACTACAAATAGTCCATTTGCATGTAGACAGATTATAGCCTAACATAACCTGTGACAACTATAGTCACCTACAGTCATGAAATATTTCAACTATTCTTAGCACTATACAAAATATATTCCAATCCACCATCAAAAAATCAAAATGGGTTATGATAGCTATTTCCCCAACTCAATACATAGTGAGGCTCATTTACGTACAAAAGTAGCTATGTATTGAACAAAAAAAGACTATTTTCAGCATCAAAGTCACCCGGGGTTCGGGTTATTGCAAGTCTTTCTAGTGTGACCAGCTTCACCACATCTTGAGCAATGATATAGTTTTTTCTACTGGAATTGTGATTCAATCCTCCTAACTCTGGGTCTTCTAGCACGGCGAGTTGTCACTGGTGGTTGTAGGAAGATAGTGAATGAGTAATCTTCATATCGAAGCGAATCTAGCCTAGGGATGTCATGGATCTCAACTGGAATTATGAGTCTGGCATAAATTTTCTTTTGCGCTGAGATAAAAAGCAATCCTCGACATATGCATATATGTCACCATATATCTTCTTGATTGCAGCACATGCATGTGGGCAAGGTAGTCCTGACATTTGCCAACCTTTACAAGTGTATTCACGTAACATAAGATTTACTCGCACATCTAGGTTTCCCCATCTGACCTTGAAATTGTTCATTCCATAATCTTGCACATCTATTCTTTCAGATCTGGCCACATGATCCATCAGCTTTTTCTTAATATTAGCTCCCACACCATTGGTCCAATTCCTCATGGCCTGTTTGCTATTGTGCATCTTTTTTACTAATTTTTTCCTATGCTCATGTATCAAGACAACTATGTTGTGCTTCCTCTCACCAACAAGCCAAGCATTAAAGGATTCAGCTAGATTTGGTGTGATATTGTCCCACCTCTTGTAAGGAAATTTGCTTTGTGCCCAACGCTCAATATCTCCATTTATTTGAAGCCATTGTCCCAATTCTGGACAAAATCCCATTAGCTTTTTCATACTGCGATCAAAGTCTCTGTCAAGTCTTGCATACGCAATAGAATCAAGTAATTTTAGTGCAACTTTCTTGGGCTGTGTGCTAGTCCTCCTCTTTCCCCTGGTTATCTTCAAGAACTCAACACTGTAATTCTCCTTGACATGACGGTAGCAAAAAGCATGTCGATCTCCTCCAAATACGGCTTGCACTGCACCTTTTATTGAGTCATGCCTATCCGATACTATTATCACTTCTAATGATCCTATAATATCCTTTGTGTTACCAAGAAACCATACCCACTCATCGAGAGTCTCACCTCCAACAATTGTATATGCAAATGGGAATAATTCATTATCCCCGTCATACGCTTATGCTCCCAATAACGTACCTTTGTATGGACCGCTCAAATGGAATCCATCCACATATAATATAGGTCTACTACCTTACAAAAACCCTTTTACACAGCAACAATATGTAATAAATACAGCTTGAAATCTATTACGTGACGATGCAACCCACTTTGCTACCGTTTCTGGACATATCCAAGGGATTAACATATAAGACTCCTCTGGACAACCATGAATTTGTGCCAATGCTTTTTCTTTTGTCCTATATGCTTGTTGGTAGTTGAGGCTCACCCCATACTCTCTTTCTAAATCCTGTCTAATGTCATTTGGAGATTTGTGTATGCAAGATATCAACTCATCTGCTATGATTGCTGAAGTAAGTTTGCACCTCTTTTTGTGAGGGATAACTTAGTTGTCTTGTGCATAATGCAAGTGTTCACTGTTAAATCTTCTCACAACTAGGAATCCATTCTTGTCATCTGCACCATATGCTGAAATTTCCCAAGGACAACCACATACACAGCACTTCACAATCATCTTATGCTTATCATTCTTTACATATCAGTAACCAAAGTTGTATGCAAGGCTATACTTATATAATGACTCTCTAAAATGTCTAGCCCTAACAAAGGTTTGCCCTTTTGACTTCAACAAATCTACCCACTTTAACGAATTCATCACCGCTATTGGGGTTGGTAGCATTTCCATAGCTAGACTTCCTATCGGTGTTGGCACACCGTGTACAGGAGATATGTTTATGTTGTCTGTGTCTAGATCCAACTTAGTTGGAGATACTGACTTTCCACAAGGACCGACTAAATCATCTAACTTGCATAAATAAATACAGCTACTGAGTCTTATAGTTCAATTTATCAAAATTGGATAGATTTCTTATCCTATATACACAATCTCAATAAAATTAGTTGAAAACAAATTACTCTTGTGCAATGTCCAACTGTGACACTTGTGTGAACTCTTTCTCATTCTCATAAACATAAACATGGCCACTGCTATTGTTGTACTCAATTACTTGTCTAACACCAATATCGTCAACAAGATCCAAGAATGTGTCCCGATTAAAGCTAACTGTGTACTTCATTTTATATTCACAGATCCCTGCCCACACATCATGAGCTACCAGGCATTGCAGTTCTTCATATGTCATCCCTTCTTTAATCAATCTTCCAGTAATGATGCCCCCTTCATAAATGAGTTTTCCTTCAGAGGTCTTTACAAAGTGCCCTCCAACATAAAAGATGCAAAATAATTGTTTCCCACTACTGCTAGCCATTTATCCTCTGTTATTGCACATCATTCAAGTATGACTTTCAATCAACTTTTACTAATTAAGGACGGTGTATGTTTACATCAACAATTTGAAAATTGACAACAACAGTTAGTATTTTCACAACTCTAACTTGCTTTTTCCCCCTGCACAAGTAGAATCAGCAAATTTACAATCCTAATACATATTTTCACCATTCCTCTACACATCTACCTGTCATATTACCCATTCCAGCCCACACCCCCATTTCCCTTTCATTTCGGCCTACCCAACTTCCTTCAGCGGGACATTATACTCAATGTGCACCCACTTTTCAAAAATCACAAACAACACATCTTTAACAACTTAAATCAGCAAGAGCATAAATTTCTTAAACTTAAAACCAAAAATACTGTCAGATTTGCAAGTCACTCCCAACCTACATACCCATACACTAAAATACTCATTTCTCCCTTATTCACCCATCGCAACCCACCTATGCTCACCGAATCACATGAACAAAACTAAAATTTTGAAAGCAAAATCTTACCTCCCACACTAAGCTAACTCCACTTCCAGAGAAGACGCAACACCATAGGGAAGACTTGTGATTTCTCTCTCCTCCACCAACTCTAGCTTCGACTTCGATAGACGGCCGTGGGATGGACCTCAAAAGTGAAGCTCCGCCACTGCGTTTTCTCAACTCATGATTGTCAGCTATCTCCCTTCATCACTGGTGTGCTGCATGGGAGAGGTAGGAAATGGCGCCAACTCCCCCCTTTCAGTCTTTCTTCTCTCTTTTACACAGCTGACAATATGTCTCATTTTCAAAAGGAAATGAGTATTTACTAGGGTCAGTGGCATCATTTCGCTTCTGGAATGAATATCAGATTGGCCCTTTTGTCCTACAGTGAGGTTTCAGAAAGTTTTGGGGGCAGTTTGAGATTAATTGTGTACTGCGGTCCTTAAACAAAATTTTCCCTAGAAAATATCGATACTTTGCAAATTTTGTCTGCAAAGTATTGGTACTCTAATTTATATCCTTATCACCGATAATTTGGATGCCAATACTCAATTTAGATTAGTCATTAGTATAATACCATATACTAGTTCTGGTGTTTAATATAAAAACTAGTTGACTAATTTGAATAAGTTAAAAAATTAGGTAAGTTAGTTATTGGTAATAAATATGTGTTGTCTTTCCTAAAATATTCTTGTTAATCATATATATTAATAACAAAATAAATTGTGTCATTATCATCTTTGACCAAAAATAAAGAATAAAACATCGGACTAAACAGTAAACCGATTGAGGTCGTAATTCAAGGGATAGTTGGTTAGATCTAGGTTAACTCAGAGTCAAATTGGTTATATTAGAAAAATACAATTTAATTAAAAATAACAAAATACAACAACATTAATAATCACTAATAACAAAATACAAGGAAATATAACAATAGTTTGATTATGAGAATAACAGTATACAATAACATTAAGAATTTTAATTTTTATGATTTATCAATAACTAAAATTAATAATTGTTGATACCAAAATTATCATTAAAATTTATTCAAATTTATAGCAAATGAGATATTAGGAGTTGAATAAGAAAAAATAGGACAAATAGCAACACAATCATTCAAACCGATTTATTTGACCAATTCGATAACGTTTCAACTTTTGACCGGTTCAATACCCAAACCAGACTAGACTACTGGCCCATTCACCAATTTTTTTTCCTTGACCAAAAGTGAAAAGTATACATTTTAAACAAGTTTGTATCCGGGCATAGTTTTAATACAAATGATTTAATAGGATATTCTTGGAAAAGTAGCCCATATTTTTAATAAATATTTAATTTAACTAGTTTTCTATTTTTTAATATATTAACATTTATTAGTATTTAATTATAAATCCACATTAAACAAAAAAAAATGACCATAAGTGATCGGAAAACTTGACATAATGAATATAAGGGAATGACTTAAGTTTTTCCCCCCCTAATATACTTAAATTAGTTTGGTAGGTCTTATATATTAATGAGCAGAGGTAGTATGTAAAATTCTATTTTGATCTCTTAATTTTATAAAGTGTTTTTTTTTCAATCTTACACCTCTAACACTACTAGTTTTACAAAAAAATGCCATTAACATTTTAAATGTGGACAAAATATTTATAAATACTAAAATATTAAGTTTAATTTTTTTGCGATAACAATGATTGGCATATAAAATCATTATTTGAAACTAACAATATTAGGGTTAGAGAACAAAAAAGGATAATTTATAAAAATTAAGGGATGAAATTGAAAATTTGCATAATATTAAACCAAAGTTGCATTTTTGCCTACATAATTTAAACTCAAGAGATAGAGATCATATTCTAACTACAGTTTTTTTAAAAAAAGTTATCTTTTTATTTTAGCAATTACAAGTTTAAAAATTAATTAAATTCTAGCTCAATTAAAACTAATTTAGATGGTATATATTTCATTGCACTGCAACATATATTCATAGTTAAATACTGAGTTGAACCAGGAGTTCAATACAAATATGTCAACTAGACTCTCAAGCAAGGGGAAACACATTCCAGTCAGACTTGGATATAATGATCAATATCATATTAATATAAAATAGGATTAAAATGCTCATTTATCCTGAAAGTGTCATTCAGGAGCTCTAAGTACGTGGATAATTTTTTAGGTGCAAATTCTTTTTGGAAGTTTAAAATTTTAGCAATAATGGTCCATATTAGTTTTTTAGCAACAAAGGACAATATTGCTATGATTTTAAGCTTTCAAGACAAATTGACATTTTAAAACTTTTAGGTGCCTAGCATTCATGAGTGAAAACTTCTGAGATAAATTTGTAACCTAACCTTATAAAATATAAAAAATAAGATAAACTTTAATGTGGGATTATTTTATGTTTTGTATATCAAAGCATGAGGCTAGTATTGTTATTTGTAGTTTGTGAATAATATGACTTTTTATACATAGGTAAATACGCTTTCTATTTGAGATCAACTTTAGTAGACATAAACAGTTTAATATCAGACTAAATGATATTGACTTGCTTTCTATTCATAATATATATATATATAATATATATATATATAAAATATACGTAGTTCTTTCCAGGTCGAAATAAGACGCATGTAACTCTTTTTTTTTTTTTTTATATATACCAAAACATACGTAACTCTGCTGGTGAGAGGAAAAAAAAACGTGCAGTTCTATCACCGTTACATCTCTGGGTGTAAATATAAGTAAAAACCTAAAATATAAGGCTGGCAAAAAGAAAAATAAACCCAAAATATAGATAAATAACCATCAATATTATTATCATTAATTAATTCAATATTATTAGTATATTTATAAATTGTGGAAAGTGGGGGTGCAGGCAGCTTTCGTTGGTTTTCAAATTTCAAGTTTCAACCAAGGTAAATTTCTTCTTTTTTTTTTTCCAAGTTTCAACAAATACAAGAGTTTTAGGGTGAGTTTGGTTGGAGGGGAGGGGAGGGGAAATGAACCCCTCCTTTTATTTGGTTAAAAATTTTGGGGGGAGGGAAGCCAAAATGTTCCGTCCCCTTTCCTCCCTCCCTCCATTTTAACTCCCCTCCAAATTGGGGGTTTTTGGAGGGGAGTTAAATTTTTGGACCATTATGCCTTTATGATTTTTTTGATATTCCACAACTATCCATAAAATATGTTATTATAATATTTATTTTAAATAAAAAAATATATTATCTAAGTAAAAAATAAAAAATATTACAATTAAAAAATATATTATAATAAAAATTAATATAAATTATTATAAAAATAAAAACATTATTTAAATAAAAAATATAGTATTATAAAATTATTTTTTTATAAATATTTATTTATTAAATATATTTTAAAGCTGAAAAAAGCATAGCCTAAAGAGAATAAAATTTCAATTTTTTTAGAGCATATAAAATTTGTTAATTTGATTATTTCAAATATATTATTATATTAATTAGAATTTAAAAAATACTGTATCAATTTTTTAATGCACATATTAACATGATAAAACTGAATTTTTCTTAAATTATATGATTTAAATTAAAATGTAAACTAATTTATATAATATATCAATAAAAAATATAAACTAATATGTAAGGGTAAAATAGTAAATTGATTATTACTATCCCTCCTCTCCCCTTCTTGAACCAAACAAGGGATCATTAAATATCCTTCCCTCCCCTCCCCTCCCTTTTAATCAAACCAAACAAGGTGAGGATGAAACCTCCCCTCCCCTCAAACCAAACAGGCCTTTAGAGTCATGCTAATTTTATTTTATTTACTGTAAAACAAACGGTCTTTAAAAAGAACAAAAGTAAAAAAAAATAGAGCCGGTTTTCACCGTTGCTTTTGCCAACAGACAAGGGCATGTTTGGTTCAAAGGTGCTGCAATTCTGAGTCTGGATTTATTTTACGCTGTAAATTGTAATGTTTATTTTTTATTGAGCTTCTAAAGATAAAAATATTATAAAAATTATTAAGCAGAAAGTCTAAATATATAATTAAAAAAATGGAATAAAAATAATACTGTAAAAAATTACTGGTAAGAAAATACTATATAATAATGACTTTATGAATTATTTTATTAAGAAAGAAGATTTTGTTAAGAGTAGACTACAATTTAAGAATTAAAAATTATTATTAAAAAATTATTATTATTAATAGATCAATTGAACAATCTAATATTAATTATTAATAAGTAATTTTTTTAAAAATGAAAATACTCTGGATAGACATTCTGTCTCATCTTGAATTTTTTTTTTGTCTCGTCTCGAATTGATTGGGATGAAACAGTGGAGAGGAGACAAGTTGAACACTCCTATCTAAAAACACAGTGATATTAATTTTCTAGTGAACGTTTATTAAAATTTTCGCAATAAATTTTATTTTAGTGTATTCAAATGCCACATCAAACTCACAAAATAGTGCTTCTGATTTTTAATATAAAATTCAATTTATTAATTTGGAAGGATTAAAAAAATTACTTAATTATAAAATATATTACATAATCTTTATAAAAATATTTATGTGGATCATCATATTATATGTCAATTTATAAGTAAAACAAATTAATTTGGAGAAATTCAACAAATATAAATTAGTTTAAAGTAATTTAATAACTTTTTAATTTTTTAAATTAATTAATTGGATTTTATATTAATTAGTGAGGCACTATTACGTGGCAGTCTATTCTTTGTTATTATACTCGTGTCATACAGTATCATTACCTTCTTTTCTTAAAGCGAACCAAACATGTCCTTAAGTTCTCGAGAAGCCTATATTCCTTGCAGAAATATGACTTTGTGCCTTTTCCCTCTCCACTGACGCTGATTTCAGCGAGAGACGGGGATGAGGGACGTCGGTGAGATAAAGCGGCTTCTTTCTCCTTTTCCTCTCTCTCTTTTGATATGAGCGAACTTCTCTGGCCGACCACAGAAACTACAGTAAAATTTGGAACTCTGAGGTAAGCATGGTTCCTTTGCTTTCAGTGAGCAGAAAATCACACATCTCTTCGATCTCGAATGCTCTCTCGTTTTTTGTTCTCCAATTCTTATCTAATTTAGGCTGTAGGGTTTCCATTTCTCACTGAAAGCTTTGGTCTCGACTTGGGGCAGTCGTACTCCCTTGCCCCTCGGTGGTGCTCCTTCGAGCTGATGTTATTATTTGGTTTAGGATTGGAGGATTTTTTATGATGCTTGGCTCTTAATTTGTAAATTTATTTAGTGGATTTTTGTTTCAATTTGTTAGAACGGCTTCAATATAATTTGATAGCCTTTATTGATATTTAGGTTTATGTTTCTGCAAGAGAATTGGTGTATTTCTACTCACGTCTTTTTACTTGCTTTTAAAATGCGATCCGTTATTTTACTATAATTTGATTTCATCCTCAACTAAAAACAAATAGGTTCTTAGTGTTGTAATTTCTGGCCTTCTTGGGTAAAGGGGTGTCAAATGGGATATGCTACTGTTTGCGATAAATTTATCTGAACCATGGATGTATTCTTTGGGATCGTCTCTTCTGAAGATTTTATAGGTGGCGTTCTAAAACTGTTTTGTTCCCATTTATGATTCCAGGGTTTTGTAGGATAATTACTTGAGGCTTAGCTATGAAAAAGGTTTCGAAGACCAGCTGCAAGTCAGCCTCACATAGACTCTTTAAAGACAAGGCGAAGAATCGGGTTGATGATCTGCAATTGATGTTCATGGATCTACAGTTTGCCAGGAAGGAAAGTCGGACAGTTGATGCTGCTGTTCTTGAGGAGCAGGTCCATCAGATGCTTCGTGAATGGAAGGCTGAGCTTAATGAGCCTTCTCCTGCTTCTTCTTTACAGCAAGTAAGCTAATATACCTTGCTATGCATCTTTGTGGACACACTATTCCGTTCATCACGGACACGTGAACCTGAACTGCAATGCAAGGTGGCGATATTTTGGTAAAAAGTGGGAAACTGTGAATATGAATTGTAATTTTGATGTGACTGTAGGGTGGCAGTCTTGGATCATTCTCGACCGATATCTGTCGGTTATTGCAGCTGTGCGAGGAAGAAGATGATGCCACTAGTCCATTAGCTGCTCCGAAGGCTGAGCCTAATGATCAAAGTCTGCAAACTGGGGTTAATATGATATTCCAAGACGTAAGTGCCTTTTGTCCTTTTGATGGATTAATAATCTTCTTTTGCCATATATTTACTTTTTGTTTATGGATTGACATTAGTTTTTCCAACTCGGGATTTTGAAGGTCTCTATTTGTAATAATTTTATAACTGTAATTACATGTTTGTGCTCATTTTAGTTTAATGTGGTGGCATCATTGTTGGTGCCAAATTACTTAAGATTCTTATGTTTGCTGCAAGAATTGGAAATTCCGAAGAAAGAACAGAATTGATATTTTATGAATTGAATCTTGGGGAAGGGTAAATACCAGAACGTTGTTAAATGATATTGAGAATATTAGGACTCCCATTCTTAATGTAAAATGGTTATATGGATTATTATTATTATTATTATTATTATTATTATTAGTAGTAGTAGTAGTAGTAGTAGTATTATATGCGTATATATTAGTAAGTTATGTGTCAGATATAGTTTAGGATTACATTATGATAAAGTTAGACTGAACTGTTTTTATAAATTGCTGCGTACTTTGTTTAGTTCGAGTTGAGTTGGGATATTGTTTTATGAACTTCTTGTTTTTCCTTTTCTCTCTAAGATCTTCCTTCATGCATTCTTTCACCCTGAAATCTCTCCTTTTCTTTAATTGTTGTACTCATCTTAGATGAGCTTGGTGTTAGAGACCCCGCATTTCTGCCACTTGGCTCCATTGATCCCTATTTTTACGTTTTGACTTGATGTTAAGAGCATGTCATGCTCATCTGGTTTCCTTCTATAGTTCCATCCATTTCAATCTTGCACTTCTTGTTTGTCCTGGTTTCTCTCGGAATTATGGGGAAAATTGCTGTAGCTTGTCCTGGAGCACCCAAGCCATTTCTATTATAGTTTTTAAATCATGATATGACTCATAAGTTAAATATGTAATTCTAAATTAATGATATGATTCACGAATGAGAATTTTATTTCTGAATTGTGAATTGTATCAAAGCAGAAGATATGATGGCAAATCATGAGAATCTTATGGAAAACATCTATAGAACAGGATCCAAGTTTTGTTCTTTTGTTATGGATGGCTGAAGAATCAGCAGGGGAGACTACTTCAATGGTGATGCGGCATGGCATCAACAGCAAACGGGGTGAGGGAAAAACACAAATTTGAAGGATAGGAAGATTGAGAAACTTCTTGCCTTTTTGAATAAAAATGCGGGATATAAGAATAGCACCAAATTAAAGTGCTCCAAAAACCATGTATAAAAATAGTAATATAAATAATTTTCCGGGTCCTGCAAACTGCTATTGGTTTGCACTGTCACCGGCTTCATTACTGGTTCAGCTGTCCAATCTCGATCTTTAATGTAGGTTCTTAATTTTTGCTGATTTATCTGTATTCTTTTTTTTAGCAAGGCTTATTTATCGGTATCAAATACCCCTGCTTCCGTGTTTGGCTAAGTTGTTTCAAGTATTCATAAAATGGGTTAATACAGGTTGAAATGATTTTGTCCTGCTGCAAAATGCAGTGCATTCCACTTTGCAGATGTTTTGAAATTCTTTATTAAAAGGGCTATAAAACACGTAAAAATATAAGATATATCAAATGAATGCATCGAGCTCAATCAAATGAATGCATCAAGAATCCTGACTTTGCTGTGAAATCATCCCCTAGGGCTGGGGTTTAGAACATAGCATTTCTATGTATTTGGATAACATTTTGGGATCATTTATGGAACAAGACGTTTGAATATTTGATGTTAAAAGGTGGCTAAATGATTTATGGTTGCCCTATTTGGGAGGTACCATATATGTCAGATGACATTATTCCTCATAATTGAATAATGTCTTCTGATGTCAACATGGGTAGGCTAATGTCGTTTCTTTTCTTTCATCGTTTGAATGACATTGTCAATCCGTTTGTGTGTGCTTAGAATGTACGCTTGTTTTCTTTTCAGTAACATTTCCTATAAGTCCATTTCTGTTCATATGCACCACAGTTTAGTTCATTATTTCTACCATTAGCCTATAATTGTACTAAAATTATTGGTTTAATTGTAAACCAGGGCCAAAAGCAACATGATTTCCCATTGGTTGATGACACCAAATTCACCTCTGGAGCTCGTGATGTTGCAGCTACTGATATAGATGGAACTGCTCTAGAATACCATCAGTTTGACTTTCACCAAGACTTCAATGACAGTTTGTATACTGGTTTTTATGGGTCCACGTTTTGTGAGGAGAATGCCATTTCCCATATATCTAATTATCTCCCTAGCATCTGCCCTCCTCCTTCTGCTTTCCTAGGCCCAAAATGTGCGCTTTGGGACTGTCCAAGGCCTGCGCAAGGGCTGGACTGGTGTCAAGACTATTGCAGTAGCTTTCATGCCACTCTAGCATTGAATGAAGGGCCACCAGGAATGGCCCCGGTTCTACGACCAGGGGGCATTGGTTTGAAGGACAACTTACTCTTTGCTGCTCTTAGTGCAAAGGCACTGGGAAAAGATGTTGGCATCCCTGAATGTGAGGGAGCAGCAACTGCAAAGTCTCCATGGAATGCACCTGGTAATATAGTCATGCTTTGTTATTTCTCTGGTTTTTGCTTTATTTTGAAAAGTCACTAATAGGGAGGTTGACATTCAGGCGAAATAAAAAAGACGGACAAGATTGTTCATTTATGTAATCAATGTCTTATTGAACTGCAGAGTTGTTCGATCTTTCTGTTCTCGAAGGTGAGACTATCAGGGAATGGCTTTTCTTTGATAAGCCTAGGAGAGCGTTTGAGAGTGGAAACAGAAAGCAGAGGTCTCTTCCAGATTATAGTGGGCGTGGTTGGCATGAATCTAGGAAGCAAGTGATGAATGAATTTGGAGGGCTGAAGCGGTCCTATTATATGGATCCACAACCATTGAACCATTTTGAGTGGCATCTTTATGAGTATGAGATTAGCAAGTGTGATGCATGTGCTTTGTATCGGCTGGAATTAAAGCTTGTTGATGGGAAGAAGAACTCCAAGGCAAAAGTAACTAATGACTCAGTCGCTGATTTGCAGAAGCAGATGGGGAGGCTCTCTGCTGAGTTCCCTCCTGATAACAAACAGTCTGTGAAAAGCAGGGCTAAACTGAATGCCAAGATTGGCATGGGTGGTGTCTATCCAGCATCTAACAGAGTGACTCCAGGACACGGAACATATGAATATGGTTTGGCTGCACCATACGATTATCTAATCGAGAATGCTGGTGACTATTACGTGACGTGATTAGTCATGGAAGGATGTACAACATGCTGCATTCAGCTTGGTTTAAAATTAAATAACGCGTCGCTTTGCCCCTCGACTCTCATTTGATCGTTTTGCTTTTTCTTCTTTAGCAACAAGAAGCCAAGGTCATTTTTTTGCCTTGTCAGATATTGTGAATAGCTGATTCTCTCGCTGGACTGCTGCGTTAGAGACTGCTGGATGGTGGATTCTAACTCTTGAAGATGATCTCATCACAGCAAAAAATTGATGTATGCCATTATTATAATTAGCAAATTGGTGAATGCTGGATGGAATTGAATCAGCACCACCAAAATGACTTGTAGTATTAAGGCAGGGTTACTATGATACAGCAATTACTCTGTTATCCAGATTATGCTAATGTAAGTCACCTATACTGCCCTTTTGAAGCTATTAGCTTCAGGACAAACTTTCAAGGGGATGGATGGTACATATTATTGGCTATGTAATAATCGTTTCAGTCCTTTTTGAGTAATTTTTATGGCTCAAGAAGGGAATCTAACTTTGAAAGTTAGAATTTATGCATTTGATGCGGTCTACCTTGTGTTATAAGATCATCTGTCTTGGCAAGTTTCCTGTTTCATTGTTCGTCATCTGTAAAATTAGGCAGAGAAATCTATGCGGGATTTTGTTATTTTTCTTACTTTTTTTTTTTTTGAAGTCATTGTTGTATAATAATAAAAGATTTTAGATTCTGGACAACTAAAATTATTAAATATAACAAGCGAACTTATAGGTGTATGTTTTGTGTGTAAGGAAATATTTGAGAGTCGTGGTCCCAATGCTAGCGGCCTAGCGTTTTCTTCATTATAATGACCTTGTGAAGATATGCTTGTTTGGATTGATAGTAGGAAAAACAACTTATTTTTAATTTGACTTTTAAAAAAATCAGATTGGGTAAAAGTGAGTAATGTGATTTATGTTTAGATTGATTTTTGTAAATAAGTTAATTTGTGAAAGTAAGTTGTTTGGATTATAATTGAATAAGTAATTTTAATTTATAAAATGACCAAAATGGGTATAAATTTTATTAAATAATAAAAATAAAAAATTATCAATTTACATAATATAATAATTTTAAATTATTTTTAAGCTCTAATTGATCTAATATATATATTTTTATTTTTTATCAATTATTATAAGGGTATATTTAAAAATAAAAGTATATTTCTAGCTTATTTATTATTTTCCACTAATTTTAACTAATTTTTTGTTATTTGTAAATTAGTTATTTGAAACTTGTAACAAGAATCACATGAAACAATAAATTTTTTAATTTTCTCTCTCTCTCTCTCCATGTTTCAAAAGTCATAAGCCATAAGCTATAAACAGCTAATTTTTACTTATAGTTTATTGTAGCTTTTTATGCAAAAATCAGGTTGCTCCATTGCAATCCAAACACCATAAATTTTTCAAACTTGCTTTTAGTTTTAAAAAAAAAAAAAAAGTAACTTACGGACGTTTAGCCGCTCAGCCAAACAAGTTAGCAACGGATACCATCATAACGATGCATGTTTCATACCATACATCATATCGACTTCTAGGCTTTTGATTTCACACAATTTTATTTTGGTTCTTTAGTTCTATAAAATCTTTTTAGTCTTGTTAGAATTTTATATTGAATTGATATCATTATCTTCTTTTGGTGCAAATTAATATCATTATTAATTCTTTTAGATTGATTGAATTTTGATTTTGATTTATTTAGTTTCAAATCGTGGTTTTCAGTTCTTATAATTTAAGAACTTGATTTGAGTTAACCACATTAGTTATTTAACCAAGAAGGTGTTTGGATATCTTTAGAAGTGTTTTTTAAAAGTTTTTTTTTTTTTAAATTGAGACAAACTCCTTTACCTATTTACTTCATATATTATAAAATTATTTTTAAAATAATGATTTGATTTTTACCTAAACACACTCTAAATGTAAGGATCAAATCAAAATTAAAACCCGTTAAAAGCATAAAAATCAAAACCAAAACTCTTTCGATTCTTGTTGGTTTTTTTTTTTTTTGGTTGCCCACCCAGTTCACCGGAGCTTTGCTTCGACTACATCTGGATTCGACCCGCGTCGCGCACCTGGCTGTGGTGGGTGAGTCTCCCAACAGGGATTCTTGTTGGTTTTGATCATGTAGTTTTGATGAGTTTTGGTTGTGGTCTTTATGCTTTAACAATTTTAACTAAAAGTTAATGTCACTAAATTTAAACCAAGTCCTTATGAAAGTGCAGGGAATAAAATAAAAATCCAATTAAACACAGTTAATTAACGTTGATGATTGATGTAAATTCATGAACCCTCAAACCTTTATAATTTCACGCTACACCTAAAATGCTCTATGATGAGGTCTAAAAATCAAAAGCTTTAAATTCGGCAAGGCTTCACGTGGCCACATTCTTGTGGATCTTTTCTAATACTCTTTCTGTCCTTAATATATAACCTAATTGTTGAATTGATTTTGATTCTAAATATAAAATCTATTTCTAATATTTATCAATTTTTCTTAAATTATTCCTATAGATATTTTCTTAATCCTAATCAAATAGAAGAAGAAAAAAAGATATTAAAAAATAATTATAGTATTTTAAAAAAAAACATGTCATATTTTTTATAATTAATTAACTTACCTAACTTCTTTAATCTAATCAAATTAATTAAATATGTCTTATATTAAAAACCGAATGAGTATTTATGATATCTCGTATACTCTTGGATCTAGTGTTGATTGATTTTTATAATTTAAATAAGAGCACAAAAATATTTTCTATCTTCAACAGACATCGTCTTTTATTATACTTTCTCATTCTGTTTCATTTTAAATTCCGCGGACCCAGTAACCTCTGTTTACATAAATACACTGCAATTTTATTTCAAGGCTTCAATATGAGCATGTGGAGGGGGCTTCATCAAAACAGGCAGCAAGCTCAATTATTCTCAGTCACGTTCTTGTACATTCTATTACACGAGGTATATGGCAGTCTGACACAGGAACCAAACTTGTGCTTGCACAAATGCTTAAAACAGGAACAGGCATAATTAGTAATTTACATACAGGCAGAACAAAAGATAAAGATGGACAGTCCCTCCATCCACTTCCACCAAACACAGTGGTTAGTCAGCATCCAAGTTAAGCCCCATCATCTTCCAGGTTGTTGACCCGTTCGCATTCGTCAATCCATTCACTGTATCTGCATCATTGCAAAACAGACTCTTAAGTTGTAAGTTGTGGGTGTCGATGCACGTATGTGCATGTGTGCGTGAGAAAAGGAGGGTTTCCACAAATTGATGGAACTTACACGTCTATTGGCTCCGATAAAGCTGTGAATACAAAAGCAAAACTGGTTAATAACTCTATCAGCAATGCATACGATCTCAGCAGATGTAAGAGTCTAAGTATATGAAGTATTGAGTTAATCATCCCCACCGCCACAAAATTGTGTTGTGTTTCACAAAGAGAGAGGAGGGAAATTTTAATATGCACCCATTTTCAAAATGTCATGTCACTAGTAGCAGCGGTTAGGTCGAGTGGCAGGCACTTGATACCCCTCAAGCAAAGTCTTGGATTTTATTTTTGCGAATGGAAAAAATCACACAACGTAGTTTCCCGTTTCCACTTTCCACCCATTTAGAGCCTATCATAGTTCCAATTTGAATCATTCGGTAACATATGATTCTCGAAAAAATGTCATGGGACTCATTAGGACTAGTCTGGGGACCAAATAAACATTGTAAAACAAGGAAGGAAAGGAAATCTCTTCCTTCTCTTGGTGCCTAACACAAACAGGACTTCATGGATACAAGTACAACTTGGGAGAATAACCGATCACTTCCAAAAAGGTAAACAGCTTCATAAGGAAAATCTAAGCATGTTCCAATATCAAGTGGGTTTCTTATGTATTTCTAAAGCCCTCCTTGATTCGATTTAGTCATTATTTCTATAAACAGGGCCAGCCATGAAGGTAGAAAATCAAGGCCAGTCCTACACATACCTAGGAATTAGTTATTAAATATATCAATAAAATCAATGTCTTGGTTGCTAAAGAGTACAAATGTCAAATAATGGCGTGAAACATACCTGTGATGGTAGTACTAAAGCTCTCTAGGCATATCCTGCAAGAAGCTTCCCCTATGAGGTTCTTCATATCTCTGTCAATGCATGCCAAAGATGAGTATATAAGTGAATATTCATCCCCATCTTTAACAAGAAAAGCCAGAGGAGCTCAGAGACAAATATATTTGGGGGGAAAATCTTGCACAGCCCGTAACAAATAGTTAAAAAAAAAAAAAAAGCTTACATGCGACATTCAACGCCAGAGCCGTGATTGCAGAAGGGGCAGCTGAAGACAGTGTCAAGCTTATCCATTCGTTTCTTTGGAGGTGGCTTTGCTCTTGATTTCCTCTTTCCCATAGCTCAAATCCTGCATTTCATATATAAGTACCAGAAGTTTAAATCAAAACCTCTTAGCAATCTACAAACTTGATGACAATAACAAAGGTTCGGTGATCGATGTAAACAATCAGCATGGCCACTAAACATATAACACACTTATCAAACCTTTCACGCTTCTTTGCCAATTTTTATTTTATTTTGAAAAACAGCTACTTCTCACTCCATACATGGACGATCCTAATGATGGTCCTCTAGGATCAAAATTTCAAGATAAATGAATATGTCAAAATATAATATAAAATCCATACCGAGTTGTACAATTCAGTGTGTATTAATTTTCAAATTCCATGCAACACAGGACGCCCACATTTAGTTAATACAAGACAAGAACCTCCCAGGGCAATAGAAGCCTCATGAGCAAAAACCGGCACGATGAAGGGCTCTTTTCTTTCTACTCTTTTCAAAGCCAACTCAATGTTTCAAAATTATCCGACAGCCATAAAAAGGGGTATTATCTGTATATTACCCATTAATCCCGCCATAAATGTGATGAAAACATTTGAGAATCTGAGCTCAAACTAATTGGATAGGTCAGCCCAAGTGATTATGGAAGAGACTACATAGACTAAAGGGGCGAAGTCCAAACGTCCCCTTGCCCCCACCCTATCTTTCCTACGTAACAGCATCATTTCCCCGAATTCTAGAAGGCAAATCAGCAGATAACTAGTCTACGAAGATTTCAGAATAGCTTTGCTATGTTGTCAAACAAAGAAAAACAAAAGGTTCTGCACACAAAGTTATCTCATTTTCCATTTGTTCCTCCAATTATCAAAATAGGAAACGGAAATCAAATCAAAACCTAATCAGCAGGAAGTTCACGCATCGGATGCAGAAAGACTATGGTTAGACAAACAAATCACGAGTGATAATCCAAAAGTCGAAACAAAACTCGGAAAGAGAAAATCGAAAGCAGCACTGCTTAAAGAATAATCTTTCTCCAAAACAATCACCAACTTAAAACCCAATCTCACAACTCAGTCTTATAGCAGACAGATCGATTGTAAGATCATAACATTGAAAGACGAAAGGACGAGCTCAATCATCTTACCTTGCGGAATTCCCGGCCGTCTCTGCCTGAAAAAGGAGCTTCCT